TAACAAGTGTGGGGCAGTGAGTGTTTCCCAGTCAGGAAAGACGTTTTGCTCAAAAAGCAAGGAAGCCCGCCCTGCAGGGCTAGGCCCTGTGTGCTGAGGAGTGTGGCCTGGCACCTCCCTTACCAGGTTCTCGTTGGTGAGCCGGGTGATCTCGTGCTGCAGGCTGGCCTCGATGCGGGCCTCTGGGGGCAGCTGCAGGTTCTGGGCCAGCAGCTGCTGCTGCCGGTTGTTCTCCTCCTTCAGGCTCTGGATCTCCCCGCGGAGCGCTTCGGCCTCATTCTCATGGCTCCTCTTCTGCGACTGCAGCTGGGATTCCAGGAGCCTGCGGAGAAGCCACACGACTAGGAAAGGGAGGTGACACCAGAGTCCCTACCTGAAGGGTGCAGACTCCGCGCTCACTTGCAAGGGCAGAAAAGCGGGGATTCTGTAGTGACTGTGTAGCTTCTGACTTGATTAGAGTCTAGGAACTCAATCAAGGGCCAGAAATGGAAACCGATGTGCTCACATTTGTGTCTTTCTGAACTGTGGACCCTGCTACAAAGTTCTCAAAGGCCCCTAGAAACAGGAAAATTTTAGCTCTTTTGAAAGGTTCATAGAAAATGATGATCAATCAATCAATTAAAAATTGATCAAACAATCAATTGAAAGACATAGGTTAAAGAACCTGGCTTACTACATTCACAAACTAGCATTTAAGTTGGCAAAGCTAGTACCTTCGCCACAAAATCACCGCACTATGGAGGGCAAGATTACAAATGCCCCGTCTAATTAAATATGCCTTGAAGACTTTCAGCATTACTAATTCCAGGCAGAGGGTGTGACCAGGGTCCCATTTTTACTTTCTACTTTTATCTCTGAAGGGCAGAAAGGCTGGAGTGCTACTCTGACATACATACAGATTTACCCAAATCCAGACAGATAGCTCTGAAATTTCATATATATATATATATATATATATAATTTGTAATTTTCTCTTTCCCCATAAACTTCCTCATCAGTAACAGAATCCTAACAAGATATGGTTTTAGAACATGGGACCAACAAAGCAGCTACTGCTTCTGTGAGCAAACATACAAGTCAGCTGTGCCGTGAGTAGTCCAGAGCAGGAGGATACTAGAGCGAACTGGCATCCTCCCTTCACCAGGCACCCCCATTTCCACATTCACCCCCTTTTCCAAAGTCAAGACAAAGTTATGGATAGGAATTAACTAACATGAAGAAAGAAAAGATGTTCTTTTATTCGAACCCCCTTGGTTATCAAATGCTGGGCAACACTTACTGATGCCATTGCAAGCAAACAGTTAACAGCAGACTAAAAATATTTTAATGATTATAAAATTTCAAAAGGATTTGAACCAATAACACCACAAAGTTAATGACAAAGGTTTGTGATTAGAACAAAGCAGAATAAGTAGAAGCCCCTTGAACAAAGAGTCTGCTAAATATTTTTTAAAAGTCATCACTAAAATGGCATTTTTAAGAGATTTTAAGACACAAATCTCGCTAGAGGAGATGAGTGTCTATGTTAGAAAGGTGCTGCTGTTTCAATTTCCCCTAAACATATTTAACATGTTGAGTTAGGGTGATTATTTTGAACTGTAGCAATGCAGGAAACCCTCTTTGTTTGTGGTTTCACAAATCGGAATTTCACAATAACCACACAGAATGCCAAATCGTGCACTTAACACTGCTGTTAGGCAGCATGATCAAAATATATGAGAATGTAGACACATTGCCCAGGCACATATATCCTTTAAATTGATCATTATTCCAAATAAGAAGCCACTAAGTAATAGGTATTAATCTCTCCTGCAGTAGTAGCTTGGGCTCCAGTTGAGAGGTTTGGAATTTCTTCCACTTTTAGTGAGATATTCACAAATTTTAGTGTCTGAAATTTACCCAGGAAGACAATTAATGAATAAGAAATACAGAAGTTAAAGTCAGGAGGCCACTGTTAGTAAGAAAAACAACAAATTAATAACATTCCATTTTGAGGAGACAAATATAACCTGTTGGCTTGTTTTAACCCTTCATAAACCAGCAACAGCTCTCCATCCTCATTCAACTCATGGCCATCCATAGCAGATGATCTTCCATGCAAAAGGAACAACAATGCAAAACACAAAGGGATGGTAATGAGATGATGATGGTCAAGAGCAGCATGTGATATTTCAATATTTTATTAAGTCAACAGGACTGTTTTTATTAATTACAGATGACTTTAAGATATTACCACAAAAATCATTTTTGGTTAATGTTTTTTTAAAAATGGGTAACATGTAACATCACACGTAAATGTGTAGAAATTAAAACAAAATAATCAACATCTAGAGCTACTTTTCCTGCAAAATAATAAATGACTGAAGAGGTGAGAAGGAGGTTCTATTTTTAACATTTTATTCAGCTAGCAGAGTGATCTTTTTTTTTCTAACATCTTTATTGGAGTATAATTGCTTTACAGTGGTGTGTTAGTTTCTGCTGTATAACAAAGTGAATCAGCTATACATACACATATATCCCCATATCCCTTCCCTCTTGCGTCTCCCTCCCACCCTCCCTATCTCACCCCTCTAGGTGGTCACAAAGCACCGAGCTGATCTCCCTGTGCTATGTGGCCGCTTCCCACTTCAGCTAGGAGAGTGATCTTATATGTCACATATTATGTTAGAGACTAACCAAAACAGTCATATACATATAGAATGAAAATTTCAGCTACTGTCTTCATGTGGCAATTTTCATAATTCATTTCAAAATGAAGTTTTAAGTCTTCTGGGTAGGAATTTGTTTTAGCTTAATAAAATCTGATTTTGTATTTTTAAAATTATTTTTAAAAATTCTTATAGGAGTAACTTATAAGCCAGTATATGTCCAAAGTTGCCAGCTTTTATGATACAACTTTTAAAAGGTTTGTTGTGTCAAAAATTAATTTTAAGACCCGGGGAAACTGCTTTTATACTAGAAGTGTGACACATTTTATTAAAAGTATGTAGAATTAACAAAACTGACAGAGTTGGTTATAGCTTTTTTTCTACTGAGGGTATAAAAATAATATTTTTGAGTGTTTGTCAAGTGTCAGACACCATTCTACATCCTTCCACATGTATCATTTCATTTAGTTCTCCCAGTAACCCAATATATATCATTTGCCACACTGCAGAAGAAGACACTGAGGCTTAGACGTAAGATACCTGCAGGGGTTGCACAGCTGGCAAGTGGTGAAGGCCAGGGCTATCTGACTCCAGAGCCCAGGTTCTTACTCCTCCTACTAGACTTCTGTTTTGTTTGTTTGTTTGTTTATTTATGGCTGCGTTGGGTCTTTGTTGCTGCGCGCGGGCTTTCCCTAGTTGCGGCGAGCAGGGGCTACTCTTCGTTGCAGTGCGCGGGCTACTCATTGCGGTGGCCTCTCCCATTGCAGAGCACGGGCTCTAGGCGCGTGGGCTTCAGTTGTGGCTCACAGGCTCTAGAGCATAGGCTCCGTAGTTGTGGCACATGGGGTTAGTTGCTCCGTGGCATGTGGGGTCTTCCCAGACCAGGGCTCGAACCCGTGTCCCCTCCATTGGCAGGCGGATTCTTAACCACTGCGCCACCAGGGAAGCCCCAAGACTTCTCTTGTTGATACGATGTTTACATAAAACAAATTTCAGACATTGCTCTTCCATTTTCCATCTACCATCTCTCCCTAGAGAGTTGATTTATTTGCATGGTCTCAACTGTATTATTACATGCTGATGACTTCAATATTTACATCTCAGCCTACATTATCTCTCCTGTTCCAGATCTATATTTTCAACCGCCTAATGAATTTCTCTCCTTGGATGTCTTCCTACCTCCTTAAATATTTGTAAATCTACTGATCATTTCTTGTACTTCCCCACATCCCAGACCCAGGATCACAAACTGGCATCACTATATCCAACCAAGTATCCATAGCAGACACTGCAGAGTTACCCTTCATGATCCCCATCCCACACAGCCAACAAACTGCAAGGCTACACACCCCATCTTCTTAGGTATCTTTCAAAGTGTCCCATTTTCTTCAATCCCAACTGTTACCAACTAAGTCAAAGTCACTATAATCAGTCATTCAATTATGGTAATAACCTCTTAACTGGTCTTTACGCTCTCAATCTTGTTCCACTACAATCTATTCTCTAACATAAAAGCCAGGGCTAGCTTTCTAAAATTCCAATCTCATCATATCATTCTCCTACTTAAAATCTTTCAGCAGCTTCCCTGGTGGTGCAGTGGTTAAGAATCCGCCTGCTGATGCAGGGGACACGGGTTCGAGCCCCGGTCCGGGAAGATCCCACATGCCGCGGAGCAACTAAGCCCGTGAGCCACAACTACTGAAGCTTGCGCGCCTAGAGCCCGTGCTCCGCAACAAGAGAAGCCACCGCAATGATAAGCCCATGCACTGCAACGAAGAGTAGCCCCTGCTCGCCATAACTAGAGAAAAGCCAGTGGGCAGCAACAAAGACCCAACGCAGACAAAAATAAAAATAAATAAATTTATTTTTTTTAAAAAATGACTTCCTTCCTGTCACTGGAGGGAAGTCCAAATTATCTCGGCTGTCTCCCCAACAGCCTATAAACTCTGTGAAAGGAAGGACTGTATTTATCTTGCTTACTGCTATATTCCCAGTGTGTGGCACAGGGCCTGGGATGAAGCAGGCATGCAATACATACCTGGTGACTGAACAGCTGAGTGGATGGATGAACAATGTAATACAGCTCTTTTTATACTAACACATTCTTAGCTATAAGATATGCTTACAACCTACATACATAAATTAAAATTTAAGTTTAACCAAATACTTTTATAAGCATTCTCCACTCTTGCCCATAAAAGAAGGTAATAAGTACCTTACATTTTGCATGGTAATATTCTTTAGTTTGTGAAGTATTTCTGTATACCAATCCTAACATTATGCATCAGGAGACCTAGATGTACACTGATAAATCTCTGTTATCATCACTGGCTGTGTTCTTTTAAGCATGTAGTCTTTTAAGTTCCGAGTTCAATAGCATGAAGGCTCTTTGGGAAGCAG